TTTTTTTTTTTTTTTTTTTTTTTTTTTGTAATTTTAATTGATGAACCAAGCTCCAAAATATGTATAAATGGGGTTTGGAATTTGTATAAATATTATTTCCGTAGGCATGCTTCCTATCCAAATTTAATCCTCTATTTTTATTTATTTTTATATAATTGTATAACTAAAACGATCTTAGAGCCGAGAAACAATGAAATATTAAACTATGTTTCAAACATTATTTGTTCGGTCAGCTCCAACCGTTCAATATAACTAAAATGTTAAGGGTTTTGTTTTCCTCCGTTAAATTTTTTATAAAAAAAAACTTTATTTGACACATTTAAATATTTGATCAACATAAATCATAGTAAATCAATGATTGGACCCATGAAACTCAATATAACTCAACGATATCATTATACATTGGTTCTAAATTTACGATGGTTTGTTTAGATGTTTGTATGACTCGATAATTTGATCAATTCAAACTACTGAATCCAAATTATAAACATTAGATTGAATTAGATTTTTGTTTCAATTTGGGTCGGATTGACCCGACTAACCCGAAAACAAGGTTGCACTCTTATCCAACCTTAGTACTTTTTTTAAACAAAATTAAGAATATTTAACGTTTTTGTAACGAGATTAGTGATTCATTGATTGAGTTTTATGAAATTTTAAAAATTAACCTAAGATGGACGGTGAATAAGTAGAATTTTTTTAAATAATTAAAAAAAACCGGACAACCCTATCTATATTAATTACAAATTTTAGTTTTTCTATATATATATATAATATTTTCTTAACCAATTTTTTTATTTTGATTATTAGTTTAATTTATTTATCACCGTTTTTAATTTTAATATAATATATATATTCCTTTAATCATTTTGTTCAATTCAAAACCCTCTTGGAATAATCATTACCATACTTTTGAGATGTCAATTACTATAATATAACTAATTCCCATCATTACTGTTTTCCAATTTTTTCTTAAACAAATATATATAAATAAATAAATAATGTGCTGCTCGCTCTCCACCTACTTGACATTTCATGAGTGTTTCAAAATTATATTTGAGATAGAAAATTAGTTGAATGTTTGACGGAAAAATCGACATGTTTAATTACGTGGAGATAGAAACTTGTTAGAATGAGCTAGTTGAAGTTTCAGACGATTCTAACGAAAACCTCGGTTAGGAGATTGAGTCCTCTAACATGGCCAAACGGGAGAATTTGTTTGATCTTTAATTCTCTCCGAGGTAAAAAAAAACAGAAACGAACTGAGACCACATCTGAATTAGAGCGGTCTTAAGAATATGATGGTTACAAAATATTTAAAAAAAATTGAAAGTTACTACATAGTATACCTTCCTTTTTAATAGCCCAATTATAAGAACTCAAAAATTAAGTTGACCTAGTTTTGAGCAATTTTATCGCGGGTGATCTCTTAAATTTGTTTCTAACAAGTACGTGGGTGATGATAAAATATGCTAAAAGAACTCGGGTTGGTTTGTGGGAATGATTTTCGCTCTTAAAAGAACTTCAAGACAAATATGTAACGTGTTCAAAACTGTTCTAAAACGAGAAGATAGTTATAACGAGGCTGATAGTTTTGTCTCGTTGGATAAGAGAGAAAGTTTAAAACTAGAGATCGCTTTTGTATCTCGTAGTTATTAAGATCAGATAAGTCGTAAGGTCAAAATCCGGCAATTTTAAGAAACCAATCTCGCTGTAGCGGTCTTATTAAATAATTTACGATTAATATACATAGAAAATGAATGAAGATGAGACAATGAGAAGGGAGGGCGGGTGTGGGAGAGATGGGTGGGGTTTGTTGTATGGGGAGAAAAGCAACATTGCATTTTGTTCTCCATGGAAGAGGAAACCAAAGAGAATGGTAGGGTACCCCTTGTCTCATTTGGTATGTTTTTCGTGTCTCGCTCGGTTCGGGGAGAAATTATTCGAGGAGGTCGCTACAAATAGCTTTATATTGTTGGGTTAGGTCGGGTCGGGTCGGGTTTAAACATGTTTTAGAACTAATTCAATTGTCCGAGTTGTAAATTTTTCAACCCAGATAACATTTATAAAATAATGAACTCCATCTGATCCAATCATAAATTTTTTTGAGTTGGGTCGGTTTGAATTATTTGGATTAATAATAAATTCAAATTAGTTCAGCTCAACCCAATCTAGTTTTAAAGAAATCTCTAAACCAATCGAACACATAACGTTTTCATCTGTTTGAACCCAATCCAACACAAGTACAAGTGAGTTCATAACTAATGGGCTGAGTTGAGTTGATCGAGTTTTTCTGGGTCATTAGGTTTTTTTAACGTTCATAGAAATTGTAAAAATACCTCGATTTTGTATGGTCTAAAAATCGCACCAAATGACCAAAACTTAAACTAAAATGAGAGTAATTAACACGTAACTAGCTCTAATCTGAACGTTGGTCAACTAGTTAAGAAATATATGATCGAACGTTCTACGTTCAATTACTCGAGCGATCTTATGCTAGGAAGTAGGGCACAACACTACATTGGCCAAAGGGGTATCAAAAGGGACCCTCTAAAGAAGGAAGGTTTAGGTGCAAAGGGAGAGGGCCACACAAAAGCTTCAATGGCCAACATGAATGGCCAACAGCTCATACAATCCCAAAACTGAGCTGGTTTCAGCCCAATAGGGATTGACCCACCAATTTTAAGTTAGTTTAATTTGAACCCTAATTTAAGGATTTTTGAACCGTTTTAGGGTTAGCTCGAGAGACCAAATTGTCGACGTTTAGATGGTAATCAGTGGCTTATTCATTGAGTTATGTTCAGGGTTGACTAATTAAAGCTTTTTATTCCCGTAAAGTGGGATTACCAAATTGTGAGATCCCACGTCAGTAGAGAGGAGAACGAAACATTCTTTATAAAAATGTAGAAATTTCTCCTTAATAGACACGTTTTTAAAATTGTGAGACTGATGACAATACGTAATGGGTTAAACCGAACAACTACTAGTGATGTGCTCGGAGTATTACAAATGGTATTAGAGCTATGGGCCTCGAGGTCGGTGGATTGTGAGATCCCATATCGATTGGAGAGGGGAACACATTCCTTATAAGAGTGTGGAAACCTCTACTAGTGGATACGTTTTAAAATCGTGAGACTGACTACGATACTCACCGTAAATTGGTAAATTTCTTTTTTATTTCAAATATTAAATTAAGGTTTTTTTAAAAAAAAAATTCCTCCAATGCAATAATTGGAGACATCTCCATCTCAATCAAGCTAAAGCTTATCTCCAAAATTAAAATCATAATTAGTGTATGAAATAACTAAAAATATTAATTTTAAATAAGGAAGCTTATCTAAAAAATCAATAATTCAAGCTCAACCTTTAATTAAATAAAATAAATGAGCATCACTTTGAATTTTTTTTCTTCTAATAATATGTTTTTAGAATTTTCATTATTAATAATTGATGATATTTTTTTAGTGTCGATGACGACTTTTTGAAGTGATGCTATCATCGACGTTATTTTCTATCTGTATGCACATTTTGTCGGCATAATTGCAATATATTTTCATCACCAAACATCCATGATTTAATATTTTCACGAAACTACATAATCATTCAAATAGGAAATACCCAATCTAAGGCATTATGATGGGAAGGTATCTTGCAATCACATTAATCGAATCCTTAAACAAAATCTTAAAATTAGTGATAAAATCTTTGGACCGAATGCAAATTAATATTTTTAATCATATTCAAAGGGCATGAAGATTTACCCAATTTGGTACTTACTCTATAATCCTAAAATACAAGAGACCAAGACGTATAATCCTAAAAGACCAAGACTTTCATCATCCAACACTTCCCCTCGAACAAAGTACGTCTCCCCTTAATCGAGGCTCGACTCCTCTTTCTTTTGGAGTCTTAGTCATTTTTTTACTATGCCTTTGAGGAGGCTCGACTCTTTTTCTTTTGGATTCCTTTGTTCAACATTTGAGGATTTACCAATCTATTGGCACGATTAAATTTCATGGCTCTAATACCATGTTAGATGATTTAGGGCATGACTCTGATATCATGTTAGACTAACACAACTCTCCACAATGGTATGATATTATCCACTTTGAGCATAAGCTCTCGTAGCTTTGCTTTGGGCTTCCCCAAAAGACCTCATACCAATACCCATGATCATTCCCTAAAGTAGCTGATGTGGGACTTTCATCCTCCAACATTATGAAAGATAAACCTTATATTTTTCAAAAAATAAAAAATAAATAAATTAACTTTTTTTTTTTTTGTCCCATATAAGATTCTTTACTACGTGAGGCCTTACCTCATTATTGGTTTCAAAGCAAATGGCTCATTTAAATTTTACTTCAAAGAATGTAATCCCCATAGTCCAACCTTCCATGACATGATCAATGGAGCTCTTAAATAGCCTCCTATTATCCCTATCTCTCTCCATTTTTTTTCTCTCTTTCCCTCTCCAACTCTAACAATCACAATCACGAGTACCTAAACAAAAACTTCTTCATTGTCCTCGAAACTCAGATTTAGCGTTTGTAACTTGAAACCTGCGCTTTGTATGGTCTCGATCAAGCTCGAGGCTACTCCGGTCGATTGTATTGTTATTTGCTTTGTGAGCTAGAACAAGAGGAGAAGAAGAAAAAACGTTTAGGCGAGTTGGTAGAATACGGGTCGATTGCTAACAACTAATGATCATACAAACCTCAACAGATGCAATGCCCTCAACAACTTGAACCTTTAATGCAGTGGCACCCTCAGTTTGCTGCAGAAGAACATGTAAGAATATGCAATTTTATACTTCAATTTTACTTCAAACAATAACTAAACTTGAATTCGAAAAGAAGCTAATACATCATTTGTGCTCTCTTAGCATACTTCAAGATCTTCAAAAGAACTAGAACTTTGTAGTTAACTTAACACTTCCCTTTCGCTTCAGCACATAATACTAAATTTCAATGCTTTCGATATATCATCGAAGAAGTGACCACACAAAGATATACACGCATAGCATAGCAATATCTAACTTGATGAGCTGATTGAATGGGCAGAGATATAAGAAGAGTCGGGTAAAATAAAGTACCGTACTACCAAAGCACCAAATGTAATCCATTAAGAGTGAGTTTGGTACCGCTTTTAGAACGATGAAAAGTGCTTTTAACTAATAAAAGCCCATTTTCCAAACTTAGCTGTTTGGTCACATAGTCAAAAAGCAATTTTAAAAATCCTAAGATCACAAATGCTTTGGGAGGAAACACTCAGGTACTTGTAGAAAAAAGTTGATCAACTAAAATGTGAGATGTCACATCGATTGGAGAGAGGAACGAGTGCCAACGAGGAGAACGAAACATTCTTTATAAAGGGTGTGGAAACCTTTCCTGCGTTTTAAAAACCTTGAGGGAAAGGAAAGCCCAAAGAGGACAATATCTCCTAGCGGTAGGCTTGGACCGTTACAAATGGTATCAGAACTAGACACCAGACAATGTACTAGCGAGGAGGCTAAGCCCCGAAGGGGAGTGGACACGAGGCGGTGTGCCAACAAGGACGCTGGGATCCGAAGGGGGTGAATTGGGGGGTCCCACATTAATTGGAGAAGGGAATGAGTGCTAGCGGGGATGCTGGCCCCCAAAGGGGGGTGGATTATGAGATCCCACATCAGTTGAGGAAGAGAACGAATCATTCTATAAGGGTGTGGAAACCTCTCCCTAGCAGACGCGTTTTAAAAACCTTGAAGGGAAGCCCGAAAGAGAAAGTAGTCAAAAGAGGACAATATCTGCTAGCGGTAAGCTTGGGCTGTTACAAAGCTCTACTCTCAAAACTGTATCTCAAACTCGCTCCTACAATTATAAGCTTCAACAAATTCGTAGAGATAAAAGAAGAGCAAATCTCATTTCGGAAGTCATCAAAAATTGAGAGCACCATGATCTTATTTCGGTCTAATCGAAGTTGTAGACTCATCAACAGAAAGCAGCTCATCCATTGTAAAAAAAGGAAAAGAAAAAACTACGTTTCAAAGCCATTCGACTAACAAAAACCAAGCAACAAGACATAGAAGGTGTTAGGATGATAAGACAATGTACCTCCAACGCCTCAGTTACAGAAGGAATAGCTGATTCATTTAGAGTCCCCTCTGCCTTCAGAAACGAAAGTTAACCATTAGAGAAGCCTCAAGCAATTCAAAGTTTTAATGCTGCAAATCCTAGAATGGGCACAGTTCATAAACAACTTAAATATTTAAGAATTAAGGGAAAATTCAATTTTTGCCATTAAGTGAACAAGTCCTTGAACTTTTTGAACCCTATACTTGAAATAACTAGTCCATTTAATACCCACTTTAGCTAAGTTTCCAAATTTTAAAAAAGATAATTAACTATCTATACTCATTCTTGTAGATGGATTAGACTGTTTTTCAAGTATTAGTTATTCTAATCTTGTTGGATGATTTAAATCAGGAAGATTGGGCATTTTGTTGCTAAGCTTGGTTAGGACACGATCCTTCGTAACGATATTGTCCACTTAGAGCATAAAGTCTCTTGAGTTTGCTTTTGGTTTCTCCAAAAGGTCTCATACCAATAGAGGTCTCATACCAATGGAGATGTATTCTTTACTTATAAACTCATAATCAACCCCTTAATTAACCGACGTGGGACTCCTCTTCCAACAATTCTCAACAAGCTTGTGCACTAGGTTCGAGTGTTTTTGTGATTATGCTTGGGCATTTCTTTGATATGATTGTGAGTGTTTTGTTAGTTAACTTTTGTATGATTTATTGGTTGGTTCATGGGCGATTTCCAAATTTACTTTTGAAGATGAACACATAGTGAAGTTCATAATTTAACTTGAAAATTAATCTGACTACTTAGGTACAGGGCCAGAAATTGGGCGATTTCCAAATCAACATGCGCTCGCAATCTTCACCAAATTCGGAACCCTTTTTTCACCGACTGCTATCAGCAAAACACGCAGATAAACACAAAAAATTGGTATATACCTGAAAGAACATGGTGAGCATATCAGACGGCGAGACGGACACGGTGACCGCCGGCGTCTCTTCTCCTTCAACTTCTTGCTCTGGAACAGAAGCCTCCCCTTCGACCGCCCTCCGTTTTTTCAGGCCGCGTGACTGCCTGTGGCCATAAACCGCCGAATGCCTGAAGGAGGCGGCGGAGACGGCGAAGTTGGAGGAGGTGTGAAGAGAGATTGAAGATCTGAAAATGGGAAATGGAGTTGGATTTGCAGTAGCAGGGCGAGAAACGGAGTGAAATATGGGGAAGGTGGAGATTGAAGCCATGTTCTTGAAGGTTTCTACGTGGGGGTGAAGTGTTTGGGATTTCTATCCGCTTATCCACCTGCACGCACGCAGCCCTTTTCTAAGTCATTTTAAAAAATATATACTTAATAATTTTTTATAAGTTAGATCAAATCATTTGTAACCACCAAATCCATTACGAACAGATATTGTCTGTTTTAACTCATTACGTATCGTCGTTAGCCTCACGGTTTTAAAATGCGTCTATAGAGAGGGTTTCTACCCCTACTCCGACCAGTGTCTCGCACCGGACACCATCCAAGCCCACTGTTATCAGATATTGTCCATTTTAGTCCGTTATGTATCGGTGTCAACCTCACAATTTCAAAACGCATCTACTATGGAGAGGATCTAGCCCTACTCCAACTAGTGCCCCGCGCCGTTCGATTACATATCGTCATTAAGCTCACGGTTTTAAAATGCGTCTATGGAGAGGGTTTTCAGCCCTACTCCGATCAGTGTTTCGCACCGGACACCGCCCAAGCCCACTGTTAGCAAATATTGTCTGTTTTAACCCGTTATGTATCGGTGTCAGCTTCACGATTTTAAAACGCGTCTACTATGAAGAGGATCTAGCCCTACTCCAACCAGTGCCTCACACCATTCGATGACTGGCTTTGATACCAACTGTAGCAGCCCAAGTCAACAACTAGTAGATATTGTCGCTTTAGCTCATTACAGATCATCGTCAACCAGAACGTTTTAAAACCATGAAATTGACAACAATACATAACAAACCAAAGCGAATAATATCTATTAGCATTTTTCTAAAAAATATAATTAATGCTCAAAGTCCTAATGAAGTTACAAACCAAATGAAATAAGCATAGCAATTTTACGATCTTAACCTTAAACTTGAAAAAGCGTTGCAATTTTTCACCCTCTAACATCGAAAACTTGTTAAAGCTCCAGGATCGTAGGCAGTAGTGGCCGACTAGTAGGTCTTTTGGTCTGTGACGGGCGGTCTTATTGGTAAAAGCTTGAATGCAACTCCTATAACTACTCAATTGATTAGCATAAACTAAGAAAAGAGGATTTCTCCCGATAACCTAACTCACTTCGTCGCATTCGAAAGGAGGAGAAATCGTGTTAAAATTTATATCTCTGCATTACTCTCAAAATAATAATAAAGCTTTTGATGCTTACAGTCTTGAAGTTGCATCCCAGTGGACATAGTAAGCCAAAATTAGTGATGCTAATCAGCCATTTTTAACATCAAATGGTTCAAAATAGGCACTTCAGCTGGGCAGCTCATTGTATGTTCATTTATGCTTGCAGTCTTCTACTACAATGCCATCTGCAAAACTCAACCAAGCTACATTGAACCAAGCCAGGCAATGCGAAGGGACAGAAGACAATGGCGTTGCTTACCTCGGAGATGTATAGCACGGTTGGCTAGAGCGTCGGCGTCGGAATTTTGTTCCTTCAAGTGAGAGAGTATGAGATGATCAATATTGAATAGCTTACACTCTTGAAGAGAATCAGAACAATATCAAAAAGGTTTAAGCATCAAAGAAGGCTTCTTCATTTGCCATGTCTAAAAAGATACCAAAAACTTCGAAAACCGTGTAGTACGAGCTGTGCAAGTGTTGTAGGTTAGCTTCTATGGACCTCGACTAATCTCGTAGTGGAACCTTCTTTATTCTACAATGTTTATTGTCACAAAACTCGTGGCGAGGTTTGAATCCACGTACTTTTTTCACATGCTGCATCATGGCACGACGTTAACCTATGGTACTTGCGAGTTGTGTTATTTTTCGTTTAATCTTTTTCACGTTTATAATTTATCGAGGATTTGGACACAACGGTTAAGAGGTTATTTGACCATATCAACTCTAAGAGGTGATGACTCGAGATGAAAAAGACAAGTAAAATTTCTCTCTAACCACAGAGAGTACTCTGACAGACATTGTCGTTTATCATTGTTAGCTCTAGCATAAGCTTTTCTTATTTGGTTCCTTTTGTTGTGTCTCTTTTGTTACGTGAGATTCCACATTGGTTGGAGAGGGGAACGAAGTATTCCTTATAAGGGTGTGGAAACCTCTCCCTAATGGACGCGTTTTAACACCTTGAGGGGAAGCCTGGAAGGGAAAGCCCAGAGAGAACGATATCTGCTAGCGGTAGACTTAGGCTATTACAAATGGTATTAGAGCTAGATACCAGGCGGTGTGTCAACGAGGACGCTAGCCCCCAAGGGGAGTGGATTGTGAGATCCCACACCGGTTGGAGAGGGAAACGAAACATTTCTTATAAGGGTGTGGAAACCTCTCTCTAGTGGACGTGTTTTAAAACCTTGAGGGGAAGCCCGAAAGGGAAAGTCCAAATAGGACAATATATGCTAGCGATGAGCTTGGGATATTACAAATGATATCAAAATCAGACACCAAGCGATGCGCCAGCAAAGACACTAGCCCCCAAGGGGGGCGGGATTGTGAGATCCCACATCGGTTGGAGAGGGGAACGAAGCATTTCTTATAAGGGTGTGGAAACCTCTCCCTAGTGGACACGTTTTAAAATTTTGAGGGGAAGCCCGGAAGGGAAAGCTCAAAGAGGACAATATCTACTCGCGGTGGGCTTGGGCTGATACGTTTTATATCCTTGTATATTCTTTCATCAAAGAGCGAGAAAAAAAATGCAGTCAACCAAACCAGATGTGAAAGAACAATACTTTAAAAGATTAAAAGAATGAACTTTAAAAGAAGTACCCTGGGGATGTGGTTGATCTCAAATGACACAAACTTATCCTTGAGATCCTTTGCCACTTTACACAAAGTAGCCATATTTTGGTTTTTGAGCTTCCATAGACCCTGAACCTGTCGTACAAAATCAGCGTTTTAGTTTACGACCAATTCGAACACGAGAAAGATGGAGAGAAGGCAGAAAATTTAACACAAGTCATGGAAATCAAGTCTTATTGTTCACTTAGAGTATTCATATTCCATCAATTTTCTTAGACTATAAATGTTGCAATTCTAAATGTTTTCTTTTATAGAAACAACTTCAATGTCGAAAGAGAAATCGTAAGTGTGAAATCCCACATCGGTTGGAGAGGGGAACGAGACATTCTTTATAAGATTGTGGAAACCTCTCCCTAGAAAACGTGTTTTAAAAACCTTGAGGGGAAGCCCGAAAAGGAAAGCCCAAAGAGAACAATATCTACTAGCGGTTGGCTTGGGTCGTTACAAATGGTATTAGAGCCAGACACCGAGCGATGTGCTAGTGAGGAGGCTAAGCCCTGAAGGGGGTGGATACGAGGCGATGTGCCAGCAAGGACGCTGAGTCTCGAAGGGGGGTGGATTGGGGGGTCCCACATTGATTAAAGACGGGAACGAGTGCCAGCAAGGACGCTGGTCCCAAACGGGGGTGGATTGGGGGGTCCCACATTGATTGGAGAAGGAACAAGTGTCAACGAGGACGTGGAATGGGAGATCTCACATCGGTTGAAAAGGGGGACGAAGCATTCTTTATATGGGTGTGGAAACCTCTCCCTAAAAGACGCGTTTTAAAAACCTTGAGGGGAAGCCCGAAAGGGAAAGCCCAAAAAAGATAATATCTACTAGCGGTGGGCTTGGGCCGTTACAAATGGTATCAAAGCCAGACACCGAGCGATATGCCAGCAAGGAGGCTGAGCTCCGAAGGGGGTGGACACGAGGCAATGTGCTAGCGAGGAGGCTGAGCTCCGAAGGGGGTAGACACGAGGCGATGTGTCAGCAAGGACACTAGGCCCCGAAGGGGGATGGATTGGGGGGGTCCCACATTAATTGGAGAAGAGAACAAGTGTCAGGGAGGACGTTGGCCCCGAATAGGGGTGGATTGGGAGGTCCCACATTGATTGGAGAAGGGAACAAGTGTCAGCGAGGACGCTTGTCCCGAAAGGGGGTGGAATGTGAGATCTCATATCGGTCGAAAAGGGGAACAAAACATTTTTTGTAAGAGTGTGAAAACCTCTCTCTAGCAGACGCGTTTTAAAACTTTGAGGGGGAACCCCAAATAAGACAATATCTGCTAGCGGTGGGCTTGGATTGTTTCAACCTCTTTTAATCAATACGGTTGTGCAGAGCAAAGCATGTCAGCTAGTGCGCTTGTCTATATATAAAACGTTAATAAAGGTGACAAACCTGCATACAAACGAGCTTGGAGTCTCCTCGCACAGAAATGTGTTTAAAGCCACTCTTTAGAGCATGTTTCAGTCCTAATATTACAGCACGATATTCAGCAACATTATTTGTAGCAATCCCAACCCCTTCTTGCAACCTACAGATCTATCAAACAACCTGATTCAAGCAGCAGCACACAAAAAAACACTTCAAAAATATGTGTAGAGTAACCGTTTACCTACCGTGGTTCCATCGTTCGCACGTAATACAGCTCCAGCACCTGCTAGTCCAGGATTTCCCTTTGAGGCACCATCAAACTCAAGAAAATACACCTGGGAGTAGATTTATTTAATTTATTATTTAAACCATTGGAAATTAAGTTAAATCTTACATGATATGTTAGAATATCCTAACTTTCACATTAATTTCAAGAAGGTGGTCTTCCTCACACTAGAATTCAACTGATTCCTATAACAACCCCTACTCGAACTTTCACCGTGTCCACAAGGTGGAACGTCGATGACAAATAGTTCATGCAAGCAAGATTTCCCAGCTAGTATCATCAGCCTCTCTATCTATCCAAGGGATGGAAGGGTTGAAGTCTTTCGTGGAGGTGTCCCCTCCAGTCAAGAATTGGGGCCTCACAATCACTAGCCAATATGTTTTTCTCTCGTGTCTTTCTTCGTTCATGGTTCGATATTCTGGTGTATTGTTTCTTCCATTGAATGTGTGAGATCCCACGTTGATTGGTGAGAGAAACGAGTGTCAGAGAGGACGCTGGGCCCTAAAGAAGGTGGATTGTGAGATCCCACATCGATTGGAGAGAGGAACGAGTGCCAGTGAGACAGTCAAACACTTACGCTACCAATTTTCATAAAAGCACTTTTAGTCAATCAATAAGCACAAAAGAGACAGCCAAACACACTTACACGGCTTGAAGAAGCAGGTACGGC